TGAGTATTTTCATTTTATGCTACTTTATACTTCACTACATTTACTTGCAGCTGCAGTTTACAAGTTACTTTTCAGATCAAGATTTTACAAACAAAACACACAATCAGTATATAAAATACAATGCTGTGTTATAGGTTTAGCTACCCAAAATGATATAAAGCATTTGAAATGAGCTCCACCTCAAGTAAAGCTGTAACATACCATTTACATGTTAATGCATCAAGAATAATGGCGCAGTAGCATAATGATATATATACATTTTTACATTTTTTCTTAATGTATTTATTTTAACACTTTCATACTTTTACTTCATTGAAATTTTGAATGCAGGACTATTACTTGTAACTGAGTATTTCTAATGTGGTATCACTACTTTTTAATTAAGTCAATTATTTGAATACTTCTTTCACCACTGCCGGAAATGCTAACAAAAAAAACATTTCAAGGTCATAACAGTCACAAACGGACAAAATGCTGAATCACCGCAAAGCATAACAGTTCAAGAGTTAAAATGTCCGTAGCAATTAAAGATAAGATAAGGTAGAACTTTATTGTTGTGCAGCAGTTGCAGCACAAAGTATGAGAGAGTGCAAATCAAAATGTACACAGTGGCAAAAATGTAAAGGGGTTAACTGTAGTGACCATTAATATCAACCGGTGAGGTGCAAATCTAAATAAACAATGCAAACTTCAAACTTCTTTCAACCCGTGAACATTAGGTATATCATAAAACGTACAAATTGTGAAATCTATAATCTATTTGTTTAATGAAAACAGTGTTACAGCCTCGGGCGTGTGCATTAAACTGCATTAACTCTATTGTAGATTTCTTAATGCATAACGCCAACCTCATTAATTCTTTCCTTCAGCCTGGACTCATTATACCTCCGCACCTTCGGAGAATTTCTCTGTCTCTTATTCCTTTCTTCAGTCTCCTTCCTCTCTGTGAACTCAGTTTGCCCCCTCGCTTTTCCTCTTTTTCTCCGTCATCATTTTCAGTTCTTTAATGCTTTGTGCGGATTAGCCATTATCCGCTTCTCAAGGAATCTCCCCCCCTTTTTCCTATCTGTTATTTTCTCTCCTTTCTGATCCTTCCTTCCCTCAGCAGCCGTTCCTGCATAATCAGTGTTATTCATTCCTTAATTCATCTCCGCAAACTGCTTTTTCACATTCACCTCCTCTGTTCTCTTCTTCTCTCTTCAGATCCTCGGTTGTTTCTTTTCCTTTCTTCGTTATTTGCCTCAGTTTTTTTTCCATTGTTATATTTTCCAACTCTTATTCCTCTGCAACCTTCACGTCTTCCCTTCTTTCCTGTTTCTTGATAACGTTTTAGTATTTCTCTGCCTTTTCTTCTTTACTTTCTTTCTTCCCCAACTTCATCCTTCCTTCCAGTGTTACACAGATCTTCTCCTCATCCTTGCTGCCAGGTGCTCTGACTTTACTCCTGAACTCTACACACCTCCTCCTAATCCTCTTTAATCATGCATCCCTCTCTTACCAAACCCCTCCCCTGTTGTCTTATAAAAGTATTATAGTTGTTATGCATAAATCCTGTTGGTTTTCATAGCTACTCACCTGCATGTTTCCACAAACTGCAAAGTCAAGGTTAATGAGAATGCTCACATAAATAATCACAAGCATATTTCCTTACAAATACAGATATAGACACATTGATGTAGCATTTCTATTGAATATAAATGGGAAATCATTGCCTTTATTTTTATGCCCTCCGACATATATACAAAAACTACCATCCTGTGTTTGGGTTGGGTCTTTTGGGTTAATTATTGTACAAATAAGAATCCGGTCAATGCACATGGCGGACATACTGGGGTTAAACTTTATGATAAGTAAGTACAACAAACCTCATGTGTTATTCATAAGATTCAACACTTGTATGTTTCCTTTCCTTCCTACTTCCTGCCCATCCGCTCATCTTTCCATCTCAGAGGCAAAAAGCCTTTCAAGTGAACACCCACAAAAACCATCAACAACAACAACAACAACAATAAAGCACTTAGCTGTGGAACGACCCATCTATGTTTTCACAAATGTGACAAATCCAATGGAGCCACACTTTTTCCTGCCAACAAATCAAATCAGAGCTTTGCTGGTTCATTCTGGGGCCGTTTGCCCATGGAAAAGTCCTCCCGTGCTGTTTTGATCCGCCTCTCACGACCTGGAACTTGCTCAAAAGTGTAATATTATGTTCTTCCTGCTCATCAGTATTGTCTTATGGAGCCACGGTCACTAAAGAAGTGTAGCATCCTTTCTGTGCTTGTGAAAATCCCTCTTTAAGTGCCCTCACCCTGCTTGTACCTGTTCTCTGAGATTGAATTATTACAGGGTAATGGAAACCATGCAGAGTGCTGTGGGACATCCTTTTCCCACACAACAACCGTTTAATCACAGACAAACATCGGGCACCATGCCACATTATACATATATACATCTATCTGTGAGTGAGTGGAGACAGAAAGACCACGGAAAGAACGAGAGAAAGAGACTATGTGAGGGAACATATAACCACATACAGTACAACTACTGTAAAGTAATGTATGCTTTGGGTGAGACACGCTCCTGAAGTAAATACAAATCCAAGAGAGAAATCCATATTTGCAGGAAACTTGCATCAGGATCATAATGGAGCTTAATTGAAGCAATAAAAGGGTAAAATGATGAAGACATTGGCCTTTAATTGCTCCCTTTTTTTAAATCCCTGGGCAATCCTGAGTAAGTTGGTAAGAAGGCAGTACTTAAATGAAAGATTCAACATTGATCATGAAACCCGACCGCTGCAGTGTGTGTGTGTGTGCGTGGTAGAGTAAGGGCTCATTTCACACACAACCACATACTTTCACGGGGTCTGACCAGAGGAAACATCACCACCTCCCTCCCCACCACTGCCAGGTCTCGGTGTTGTCCGGTGTCACGAGCCTCATTATTTTTTTCTCACCTTTGTCTCTCCCGGATTTTCTCGTCTCTTGTTTGTGACTCTCTCGTTATCTCGTTTAACTGTTTTTGGATTTTGTTTTCTCCTAAAAGCTTTTTCCCACCATACGATCTGAATTCTTCTCCTCTTCTTCTTTTTCAGTGATGTCGTCTCTTCTGAGGGAGGAGATGCAGAGAGTTTTATTCCGACCTGAAAAACAGAGACTGGTGGAATTCATTGAGATTGAAGAGCCCACACAAGGAAGACATTTCCTCTGTGTCTCAGGTAAACAACTTTCTTGTTAATTAGATATTTCAAAACATTTTTGAAAGCAGGTTTTATGGGTTAATGCTGCTCAGTTATTCAAGATCATTTGAAATCTATTTTAGACAACATCTTGATATAATCTTGATATTGGAATTACTCTTTACAAATTGTACAGAATATTATTTTGGAGATGGAAATGTGTTGAACGTGTCCTTGTGCTGTTGTATGAAACCGGCCATGTAAAGTCTATGAGGCTTGAAATGACTCAAGGTTTTACTTTTAGTGCAGAGGGAAAATGTCTGCTAGCTGCTGCCTGCATTGCACACATATGCTTACACTTGTTATTTCCCCTTTATCTGCAGTTGCAAAAAACAAAGTGGTGCAGTTGAGTATAGTGGGATGTCAGGCATCTCAGAAGTCTAAATCAAAGAAGTCCCACACCAAACGCTCCAGCATACAGGAGTGCTACGTGAGGATGGAGACCTGGTCCCTGCAAGACCTGACTCTTGTTGATGGACGAGACCCTGATGTGGTAATTCACTACACTTAACTGCAATTTCCATTGCTTATTATTGCATAATTCCCTATAGTTTTTTAAAGAAAGGATGAAATAGTTTTCTAATTACTAAAAGTGTAAATAATAACATGACATAACATAACAATTAATAACACTTTTACTGTTTATAATTATAAAAGCTTTGAAACACTGTAATGAAACTGTAATTTTACATTGTAAATCATGGAAATTGTTCCGATGCTTTCATATTTCTGGCACCGCTTTGATGGCTACTTATCCGGTTTAGAATGGTTTTTGATCAGTTGAGTGGCTATTATGTTGAACCACTGTGCCAGCTCTGATTTTAAAAGGGGTTACACACAAGAGATTTGTTAATTTTTTTAAATAAGTAATGCTATCTCATTCTGTGTCTATGTGTCTTCTGGCTCCAGGATGACCCATGTTTCCTGCTGCACTTTGATAAGGTGCGTGCAGTGACAGCCGTCAGCTGCTCAGCCAAATACTCTATTGTACGTGCCCTGGTTGCTCTCAGCGACCAGCACTGTCAGAGGTCACTGAACCTGCAGAACTTTGACTGGGCCTACATCAAGCCCACATCCTTTTACTCCAATAGAGGAGACTGTGTTGTTCTATCGCAGATATGCTTCTATGCACTCAATTTGGTTTGTCTGTCCATGTGTCCTGTGCCTCTGGATGCATAATGGAATGACACAGTAATTGGGAAGAGTGTGTGTATGTCAGAAAACTGTTGCAGGTTTACTTTATATGACTTATGTTGAATCAGCGGCGTGCAGAGAATGAAGGCTTGTGGCTTCTGTTACACTAAAAATAATTCACCATTAAATGTCTTTTGCTAATCTTCATGGCAAGCACAAGTTTAAAGCAGCTTGTTATTTGTTAACCACTTAATCTACTTTTCTGATCTTTTAATTATGTATTCATTTCTGTATGCTATTGTTAAAATGTGATTTTGTGAATTTCAAATGGAGAACAAATAAAACAACTACACATTTATTGCCTTTTCTGCCTACAGCCTTCTTAAAAGTACAATCTGGAATTTAATTTCACTTTTTAAATTAGATTATTAAACATTATGCATTCAGGTCTTCATATAGACACTGAAATTGATAGAGAATAATAATACTTTGTAATAATAAATGATCAGTTAGCAGAATAAACATAATGTGAAAAATGCAAGTAATTAAAAAAAATCTTTTTTAGTATCTGGTCAAAGTTAATTTAACACAGGGGACTTATGACTGTCTGTTTCAGTAATTAACATTAAAGCTAGGACTTTCTGTGTTTTTTAATAAAAAATTTAATTATTTTATAATTCTATTATCATTTATATATTTGCATTAGCTATAATATCCCACTGTGTAAGTCTTACCGTCGCTGATGACAAACTGCAGTATCTATCCACGTCTTATATTTTCTTCCACATGTTGTTCAGTTCTCTGCCTACAGGTGGCGCCAAAACACCTCGGGAGCATTTAGTAGCCTTAAAATATGCCCGACGACAATAAATAAACATACATCTAAATTTATATGAAACTGGGTTCTTTGGAGTTTATATTCAACTTCCAAAACTTTAATGTTTATTTATTGATAAATATATTTAATGTTCGCACACATCGTGTTAAGATACTTTAAATTCCCCCCGGCGCAGAGTGGACGCACTATAGCGGCTCCATACCTGCCGCCAAAATTCAAGTTAGAAGAGAGAAGAAGGAGCTCTGCTGTTGTCGGTCGTAAACACTGGGCCTCTAACCTACTGCTTCATCTTTTATAAGTCACCATTTGGGATTCAGACGCCACAGATCTTTCCTCCGGAGTCAGCGGACAGAGGACCGCGTAAAGATGCACATTAAGTCTATAATTATAGAAGGATTCAAGTCCTACGCTCAGAGGACGGAGATCAACGGCTTCGACCCGCTGTTCAACGCCATCACAGGACTGAACGGCAGCGGAAAGTCCAATATTTTGGACTCGATATGTTTCCTTTTGGGCATTTCCAACCTCAGCCATGTAAGTGTGTTAACTGCTTTTAAAGTCATTAAGTTGTCTGGTAAAAGTGAAGTCAAGTGAGTTAGTTTTTTTTATGCCCTTAAATTAAACTAATCATTTAG